ACTATTTTTGTTGACCTTTGTCCATGGAAGGTCCCTGCAAAATTTCATTGAAATTGGTTCAGGGGTTTTTGAGAAGAAGATTTTTGAAATTTTAGTCAATTTGACCCTTTTTGGCCCCGCCCCTCAGGCCCCTGGGGGCTTAGGACTAAACCGGCAACTCTTTTTGTTGACCTTCGTCCATGGAAGGTCCCTGCAAAATTTCATTGAAATTGGTTCAGGGGTTTTGGAGAAGAAGTCAAAAATGTAAATTGTTTACGGATGCACGACGGACGACGATGGACAAAAGGCGATCGCAATAGGTCACTTAAGACTTTGTCTCAGGTGACCTAAAAATAGAGATGACTCATGCATAACAGATCAGTAATACAAGTTTCTATATGTGACATCAGAAAACATGCCTAGATTATATTGCATACCAAAACTCAACAAACCGGGTTACCTGTGGCATACTATAGTGTACTACACCTGATCGATGGGTTACAATCTGTCATGAACCCTTGCAGATATATGGTCATCATAGGTAGGAATAACATCATGTCCTGAATTCCAAACATCTGAGTGAGAAAATGTCATTATCGAAGGAGAGGACAATTTCAACTTCCACCATATGATCTTCCTGTTCACCAACACATCAGTGCAAGAGGTGACATCATCAGAGAGAAAGACACTCCAGAAAACAAACGGAATGCATCGGCAGACAACATCATTGATCTACTGATAGTTGTCACATGTCATATCCCGACTCTAAGCAAACCGTATTTCAGAAAAATTTGTGTGAAGGTTTTGACTTATTGAATGCTATGACCTGGAAAGAAGGTCAAAGTCATGTTTATTTGCAAACTTTGTCAGAATTCATCCCAGGAAGATACCAGCCACATATTATGACTCGATCATGGCCTAGAACTTTTGGACATTATAGCCGACTCATGTGGCCGTGAAAATAGGTTGCTGTCATTTTCATTTGAACACTTTGTCAGGCTTCATCCAAGGAAGCTTACAGCTTAATATCATGACTCTAGGCTTCTCCAGAAGGAGTTATTTGAACTTTTTTAAACATATTTGACCCCTGTGATTGTTAAAGTAGGTCAAGGTCATGTTCATTTGCTGGCTTTGTCAAGCTCCATCTCAGAACGCTACTAGCCAATTATCAAGACTCAATGTCTTATGGATCTTCAAAAGAGGTCGTTTGAAGCTTTTGAGGAAGGTACCATGCAATTCTCATGATTCTAGGCCTTTCCATACTTCAAAAGAAGTTGTTTTAAGGAAAAGTTGATGGTAGAAATTAGTTCAAAATGGAAATAGCTTCAAGACAAGTGTGCAGACTTTCATTTTCAAAATACTCTCTTACCTTTTTTAATACAGGTGACAACACATATAGCCTCAGAGACTGGTCCAGCTTTAATTGTGCAACTTGTATAGCCACATTGCGTACTGAAAAAAATCATAAAAATAATTAACTTTTCATCACTTATGAAAAGACATTTTTATCAGACAATGATAATCTTATTTACATAGAACAGTAAACTTTAGGATATTTGAGTACTGGCTATATGGCTATATAGCCAGCAAACAAACATTGAAAATATCTTCGATTCCCAACTTAAGTAAATACTAATCATTTGGAATAAGAACAAAATCTTAGGGGAGGGTAATACAAAAAGGACATGAGTGTTTATATGGTTGTTGGGTGAAGATTTCATCTGTCGATTCCATGATATAACCTAGGGACCAGGGAGTAAGTACCAAGGAGTAGGATGAGACCCTTGAGCAAATCCTGGTAGCACGAGTGTATTCATCTCTCATCTCTTCATTCACAGCACCTTCAGGCCATGTTAGGTATGAAAACATAAACCAACTGTGGCTTTCTAAATGTCGATTTGCCAAAAAATGGTGTTAGGGAGTGACCAACTTACATGTGTACATAACATATATAGCTGGTAACCATCACTAATTGTCTATAAACATAGAGAGAACGCAATAATACTAACAAACTAAAAAGTCACTCTTTTTCCAAGCTTTCAGGCTTAGCCCTTCGTCAATACCAGGTGAGGATGATGATGACCACATCACAATTTGTCTTGTGATCCTTGATAGAATATTATTTTTGTTCAAACTATTTTATCTTTTTTTTGTTAGGGCCTTAAATTTGGTTCAATTTAAGTGGCAACACAAGGATTTTTTTCAAACCTAAGTTAAATGCTTTCTCACTGAAAATAAATAAGAGATGCAATGGGCCTGTATCACTCACCTCAATGGGTCCACTTGATATCATTACACAAAACATCTTGGATCTTTGCTAGTAGATAGTAATATTTTACCTTTTGTGACCTGACCTTTAAAGTTGGTTAAAGTCATTAATACAGATTTCACACTTAATTGCACTCCACAAGTTTAAGCTAAAGGACAAATAGTATCACTCAAAGCCCCTTTAATAATAAATAATAATATACAACATTTTATATTGCGCCCTATCTAGCTAGAATAAGCCACTCTATAGCGCTTTACAGTACATAGATATACAATTAATACAATTAGGATATACAATTTTTGAGGAATTCGCATTCGCAGGAGCTGCCTGATCAGGCGCTAACGACTAGTCATATGCCACCTGGCTAATATCTCCCTATGTGTGTATGCCTGCATGTGTGCTGGAGTTGTATTGTGTTCTGTTTGTAGTGGGACCCTGCTTCCAACAGCATTTTTTATAGTGCCACCTCACTTGAATGCTACATCACAGATACCGCAATATCCTGCCGAGACCATTTTATACTTGTTGGAGTTGTGTGGGCAGGAGAAAAACACTTTCTCTGATATTCCATACGTGCGACGACTTCGGGCGCTTTAGAGTAATTTTACAATTATATGGGGTGCTTATAAATGTTGTATATTATCATTGTATATTACTGTAGGTCTTCCATTCTTCAGATGAAGTTATTTAGCAGTTTTTACAAATTTGACCCCTTTGACCTTGAATATAGGTCAAGGCCATTTCTTACTGCAAACTTTGTAGCACTTCATGCCATTAAGTATGCTTCTTTCATACATTGCCCGGTCAACAGCTATAATACAGCTGGCCGGGTATATACATGAAAGTTATTTTTAGTAGTATCACAGCTGTTATATCCCCTTAGCCCATATTTAGGTAGAATGTTTCAGAAATAAATATTATTATTTGCTATAAATCTCAATCTGCCTTCAAGTCTTTTGTTCATAAATTTGAATATAGGTCAAATTCATTTCATTTCTCAAACGTAGCAGCAATCCATGTCAGAATATTTGTAGCACTCAATGCAAGCAAGTAACTGGCCAAATTCATGACCATGCGTAAGTCTATCTATTTTTTAGAAAAGTGTTTTAACAAATTTGACCCTTATGACTTTGTATATGGTTCAGTGCAGTTTCTTTTTACATCATTTGTAGCACTCCATACATGCTAGTGTCTGGTCAAATGTTGTTACTCAGTGAGATTTTCAATAACTTTTAGAAAAGGAAGTTTCAGTGTTTTAAGATGCAATTGTAGCACCAGTGATGCAGAATGCCCATGGTGGCCCCATTCATACACAGATTTTAATTTAATAGTACGAGTGCCCGAAAGTGTCAAGTTGTTTGAAGACGTTTTTAGATGCCCAAATTTTACCCCTTTTTTGCCCCTTTATGGCCCCTAAAAAAGGCCAGCCCCTTATCCTTTGCAAATCTGATTCCTACAAAATTTGATTGAAATCTTTCCTGTGGTGGCTGAAAATTGGGTTAAAGAAAACATTACAAACAGCGGACAGCAGCTGAAAGCGGGTCCCAATAGCTCAGTTCCTTAAGGTGAGCTACAAATTCAGATGGTTATCCCTGTGACCCTAGGAGTCTTAGTTAGTCAGAGGAAGTCACCAATTGTTATCCCTGTGACCCTAGGAGTCTTAGTTAGTCAGAGGAGGTCTACAATTGTTATCCCTGTGACCCAAGGAGTCTTAGTTAGTCAGAGGAAGTCGCCAATTGTTATCCCTGTGACCCTAGGAGTCTTAGCTAGTCAGAGGAGGTCAACAATTGTTATCCCTGTGCCCCTAGGAGTCTTAGTTAGTCAGAGGAGGTCTACAATTGTTATCCCTGTGACCCAAGGAGTCTTAGTTAGTCAGAGGAGGTCAGTAATTGTTATCCCTGTGACCCTAGGAGTCTTCGTTAGTCAGAGGATGACAACAATTGTTATCCCTGTGACCCAAGGAGTCTTAGTTAGTCAGAGGAAGTCAACAATTGTTATCCCTGTGACCTTAGGAGTCTTAGTTAGTCAGAGGAGGTCAATAATTGTTATACCTGTGACCCTAGGAGTCTTAGTTAGTCAGAGGAGGTCAATAATTGTTATCCCTGTGACCCTAGGAGTCTTAGTTAGTCAGAAGAAGTCAACAATTGTAATCCCTGTGACCCTAGGAGTCTTAGTTAGTCAGAGGAAGTCAACAATTGTTATCCCTGTGACCCAAGGAGTCTAAGTTAGTCAGAGGAAGTCAACAATTGTTATCCCTGTGACTCTAGGAGTCTTAGTTAGTCAGAGGAGGTCAATAACTGTTATCCCTGTGACCCTAGGAGTCTTAGTTAGGCAGAAGAAGTCAACAATTGTAATCCCTGTGACCCTAGGAGCCTTAGTTAGTCAGAGGAGGTCAATAATTGTTATCCCTGTGGCCCTAGGAGTCTTAGTTAGTCAGAGGAGGTCAACCATTGTTATCCCTGTGACCCTAGGAGTCTTAGTTAGGCAGAGGAAGTCAACAATTGTTATCCCTGTGACCCAAGGAGTCTAAGTTAGTCAGAGGAAGTCAACAATTGTTATCCCTGTGACACTAGGAGTCTTAGTTAGTCAGAGGAGGTCAATAATTGTTATCCCTGTGGCCCTAGGAGTCTTAGTTAGTCAGAGGAGGTCAACAATTGTTATCCCTGTGACACTAGGAGTCTTAGTTAGTCAGAGGAGGTCAATAACTGTTATCCCTGTGACCCTAGGAGTCTTAGTTAGGCAGAAGAAGTCAACAATTGTAATCCCTGTGACCCTAGGAGCCTTAGTTAGTCAGAGGAGGTCAATAATTGTTATCCCTGGGACCCTAGGAGTCCTAATTAGTCAGAGGAAGTCAACAATTGTTATCCCTGTGGCCTTAGGAGTCTTAGTTAGTCAGAGGAGGTCAATAACTGTTATCCCTGTGACCCTAGGAGTCTTAGTTAGGCAGAGGAAGTCAACAATTGTTATCCCTGTGACCCTGGGAGTCTTAGTTAGTCAGAGGAGGTCAATAATTGTTATCCCTGTGAACCTAGGAGTCTTAGTTAGTCAGAAGAAGTCAACAATTGTAATCCCTGTGACCCTAGGAGCCTTAGTTAGTCAGAGGAGGTCAATAATTGTTATCCCTGGGACCCTAGGAGTCCTAATTAGTCAGAGGAAGTCAACAATTGTTATCCCTGTGGCCTTAGGAGTCTTAGTTAGTCAGAGGAGGTCAATAACTGTTATCCCTGTGACCCTAGGAGTCTTAGTTAGGCAGAAGAAGTCAACAATTGTAATCCCTGTGACCCTAGTAGTCTTAGTTAGTCAGAGGAGGTCAATAATTGTTATCCCTGTGAACCTAGGAGTCTTAGTTAGTCAGAAGAAGTCAACAATTGTAATCCCTGTGACCCTAGGAGCCTTAGTTAGTCAGAGGAGGTCAATAATTGTTATCCCTGTGAACCTAGGAGTCTTAGTTAGTCAGAGGAGGTCAATAGTTGTTATCCCTGTGACCCTAGGAGTCTTAGTTAGGCAGAAGAAGTCAACAATTGTAATCCCTGTGACCCTAGGAGCCTTAGTTAGTCAGAGGAGGTCAATAATTGTTATCCCTGTGAACCTAGGAGTCTTAGTTAGTCAGAAGAAGTCAACAATTGTAATCCCTGTGACCCTAGGAGCCTTAGTTAGTCAGAGGAGGTCAATAATTGTTATCCCTGGGACCCTAGGAGTCCTAATTAGTCAGAGGAAGTCAACAATTGTTATCCCTGTGACCCTGGGAGTCTTAGTTAGTCAGAGGAAGTCAACAATTGTTATCCCTGTGACCTTGAAAGTGGTTCAAGATAATTCATTTGAACAAAATTTAGTGCTGTTTATCCCAGCATGCTGTTAGCAAAATGGAGTTTATTTTTTTTGTTAACCCCAGTAATCTTGAATGAGATTCGAGGGACATTTATTTGAACAAAATTTAGTGCCGTTTATCTCAGCAGGCTTCTGACAAAATCTTTCCATATAGGCCTTAGGGTTATTCAGACATTATTCTGATAAAGGACTTGGGGCATTATGATAAAAAAAAAAACACCTTTAGATTTATTTACAAAATTCTTATTGGTTAATTAGGGCTATTGCTCCTGGTGCAGATTTTTAAATTGCCCATGCATAGATGCTCCACCAACAAAATTGCCTTGCTATGCAGAAATAGCAAAAATATTCTGTTTTAGACAGTTAGCAAGCAGAAATGAAAGCCTCATTTGTATGTGACAACCAAAAATTCCTTTCTACGAATGACCACTGGTATGACAATGTTTTAAGAATGCCACATATAATTTTTAGCTGGTGCATGCAGAGGCTTTCAAACATTGAACAGTATTTTGGTAATTTGCTTCAAAATGGCCAATCATCAACATATATAGCACACAATAGACAATAGTCATGCATTTTATTGTGAAAAATGTGGGTTTATACCTTTCTTTGTTATGCCATATGTTCTATACAAGTTGTTGAATGAATTTGAAATTTCCTCATATTTGCATCCTTCATTTATCCCAGATTACAAATGTATTAACTAATTCTAAATCCATGATTAGACTGGAAATGAACCTTAATGCCTCTAATCCCTTGCCCCTTGAATTCAATATACATTCGTTTAAACAAATTCTTATTGAAACTGGTTCAGTGGATTTTGAGAAGTCCAAAAATGTGAAACTCAGGATAGAGGATGTAAGACGGACAAAAAGTGATCACTATGATACATTTTATCTTGGCTTACTTAAAAGTGTCTTACATTTTGCAAGTCCTCCACCTGCCAATCCTTTTTTGACAGGTGATGAGGGAGAGGTGGGTATAGATGGGAGTGTCTGGGAGTCAATCATGTCAACAGGTTCCACAGTCCTTGTTGGGTGTACTGGTAAAATTGAGGGGTCAAGGGTCGGAGTTGATCTATTCTCAATGGATTCTGGAGTAGTGATGGAGTCCAATGGTGGGGAACTGGTCATTGTGCTCTCGCTCAGGGAGCTAGTGGGGTTGATGGACAATAAAGATGAATCGGCAATTGTGGTACCAACATCAGATGTATTAGAAGGTGAAGGTCTTACTGCTGAGGATGACAGTTTAGTCTTTAAACGTTTCGCCATGAATTTTACATTGGCAGAAGATCCTATCGAGAGACTTCTTGCTAAAAGTTAAAAAAAAAAAAGATATATTCTTCAAAATAGAAACAGCTATCCATATACAACAAAGTTGATTGGAATATTTTAGATTTCGTTTAATTTCTTGAAGCACCAATATGAACTACACATTAGCCGTGACTTGTTTTCATTTTCAGTATGGAATCCCAGGCTTATCTTGGAAGTTGGCTTATTTTCAAGGCAGTTTTATTTTCGGAGGCATTTAGACAGTAAACCATCAATGGCTTGTTTTGAAGTATTTCCTTTTTTGTTATCTTTTTTTTTTTTTTTAAATGAACTGAAAGCATCTTTTTTATCAAATTCTTGCAATAATTAATAATATAATATGATTGTTAACTACTCTATGGCTACTTCAAAAGAATTGTGCTTCAAGAAAATGTTACCTTTAAGCAAAAGGCTAAAATTTAGGTTGTCCTGATGATGTTTACAAACCCTTGAATTTGGTGAGATAGTTTGTTGGTGTGTTAGCAGCCTCGTTATCATCTTCCTCCTCCCCATCAGCAGTAACCTCTATGGTTGGTGTCACTGGCTGGACATCATCCTTCATGGACAGCACCTGTTTCAGTAATAATATTGTCACACATTAAATAATCTTGATTACTTAATATCAGAGAATTGGACTATAAAATTAACAATGACATCATTATCTCAGAAAAAATTCAAATGCATTATATATATATAGCCTTTATCTTTCAGCCCAATTTGTTTTTCTTTCTGTTTGAAAAGAACAACAGTTAACAAGAGGCCCATGGGCCTTAACGGTCACATGAGTTATGTAAAAACTGATGTTATCTATGTTGCCAAATGAAAAAGAAATCCTTTTGTAACAAAGGTAACCTGAACTACTGTAATGCAAAAGTAGTGTGAAAGATCTGGGTAGTATATATATTATGTATAAATAGTGGTTCTGTCAGTCAGCTGAATTTTGGTAAAGCACCTTAAGACCCTTCCATCTATGAAGAGTATTTGAGTATTTTGACCCCGCCACTCAGACCCCTGGGGGCTGGGACCATATAGTTCACATTTAAACTATAGTAAAGTGTACCCCCTCCCCAGGGGGAAACGTGAGACCACAGGGTCATGAAATTCACAATTTTGGTAAAGCACCTTAAGACCCTTCCATCTATGAAGAGTATTCGATTCTACCATATCTGGATCTTGAGAAGAAGATTTTTGAAATTTTAGTCAATTTGACCCTTTTTGGCCCTGCCCCTCAGGCCCCTGGGGGCTGGGGACCATACACTTCACAATTGTGGTTGACCTTTGGCCATGAAAGGTTTCTGCAAAATTTCATTGAAATTGGTTCGGGGGTTTTGGAGAAGAAGTCGAAAATGTAAATTGTTTACGGACGGACAATGGGAGACGGCGAACAAAAGGCGATCGCAATAGGTCACTTGAGACTCACGTCACCTAAAAATCAAGAAATAGTAATACAATGATTAGTCAAAAGATTTTTTATAAAATGATACCAATGTCTTTGTAAATCACATACATTCGTAGAAAACGTTCTATGTACAATTATTGAACCCATATCGTGTGAAACGAAAGTTTTTCCACACAAGACAGAGGCAATAATAACTTGAAAGCTATATAGGCCAAACCTCACTTGTTCATTTAATGTCTTACATGGCATGATTGCATTGCACATCATATGGATATATATTAGATTGAGTGAAATATATCCATTCGCATAATAAACAAGTGCCACCTGACATGCAGATAAACACATGTGTGCTGTTGCTTTTATTAAATACCTACGATATACATGTATTTTCTGCAAAACATAACTCATCATATAACACTTTATTAATTCATTAACTTTAATTTGTTGATTTTATGAGTTGAAAACAAATGATGTGTTTTAGCCAAAAAAGGGTTTGCTTACTATGGTAACTAGAATACTGACAGGTCAGCAAGGGCCGTTTTATGGGTTTGACCAAATATATCCCCCATATATACTGAGCAGAAGCCACAGAAATCATTTTGTATTTTGAAGTTATGGTAATAATGAGCTATGATTGATTGTAATCTGACAAATACTAGTTGTCATCAAGAGAACAACACTTTTGATCAAGAAGATCTCAGCCAATCAGAAACCATGGCAGCCATCTTGTTTGATGGGTTTGGTTTAATAAGTATAACAATTCATATGGAAGGTGAAGGATTTCAGTGACTTACCTCTATTTCCCTTAATGGTCAACACCCCTCTGACCCCCGGGGCACACTGATTATAGATGAAATTTTGTTAAAAATCCTTCCTTTTTTTGTAAGAGAAGGCCTTTAAAAAGTAAGCTCTATTTCACCTATTTGGCCCCGACCTCTACCCCAAAGTAACCACACCCTCCATTTATACAAAATTTAGTCCTTTTTGCCAACAGATGATAAATTTGGCGATAATTTCCTTCCTTTCCATACAGAAGGAGAAAGCTATTAAATGATTGAGTTATTTCACCTATTAGGCCTCATCCCTCTGTCCGCAAGAAAGACACATATTCTGTTTAGACAAAATTGAATCCTGCTTGCCAAAAGATTCTCTAGAACAATTTTGGTTAAAATCCTTTAATATTTCCCCCTTTTCCCCTATTGAGCCCCGCCCCTCTGTCTCAAGAGGGACACATCCCCCGTTTAAACAAAATTGAAGCTCCTTTGCGAAAAGATGCTCTAGAATAAGTTTGGTCAAAATTCCTTCATTGGTACAAAAGGAGAAGGATTTTCAATTTTGTCCTCTATTTCCCCTATTAGGCCCCACCTTTCTGCCCCACAGGGGGTCACAGCCTCAGTTTAAACACAATTGAGTATATTTACCCCCAGGATGCCCCAGACTATATTTGGTATAAATCCCTTCATTATATAGAAAGAGAAAGATTTTTCATCTTGCTTTTTTACAGTGTAAAATAGAGGACCTTGTATTGCATGGCCTGAAAACTAGAAGTATCATGATAGGAAGATAGGAGGTATGTAATAACTCCCAGGCTTTCAAGGTATACAAACGTTTATGTTTTCCCCTGTAACAATAACCTTATGTCAATGATTATAAGTTTTACCCGGACATGCTGACCATCTTCTAGTACTTCAAATGTAAACCGAGGTTTCCTGCAGATTTCCCATGTGAGTGGGGAAAGGACAATGTATCCAGATTTACAAAAGCTCTCAGCTAGGTTGACATCTGTCACAGGCTGTCCCCTCTCTACATACATACGGAAAGTGTCATTCCCCAGAAATGTCACTCTTGTGTTTCCCATTGACACACCTGTAAAGAGTAATAGAAAATTCTAAGTAGAGCAAAGGCTGGGGGTTTTGACAGCATATTATATTACTTAAGTTGGAAGAAATCTAAATTTTCAAAGAGATGTTTTTGTGAGAAAACCAGTTAACCCATCAGAAGTTTATAGATTCATCAATTATGCATAAATATGCACAAATCAAATTTGTTATCAAACTGAGGTCACAGTGACTTGGTATCCCATAATTTACCTACAAAGTCTGATGAAAAGTTTTAAACAGGGACTGAGATATGCTCCAGAAACCAGTCAGCACATATGGACACACAGACAAACACATCGACAGATGAAGTGAATACTATACCCCGGACTTACGGACAAACACATCGATAGATGAAGTGAATACTATCCCCCCGACTTACGGACAAACACATCGACAGATGAAGGGAATACTATACCCCGGACTTACGGACAAACACATCGATAGATTAAGTGAATACTATACCCCCGACTTACGGACAAACACAACGACAGAAGAAGTGAATACTATACCCCCGACTTACGGATAAACACATCGACAGATGAAGTGAATACTATACCCCGGACTTGCGGACAAACACATCGACAGATGAAGTGAATACTATACCCCGGACTTGCGGACAAACACATCGACAGATGAAGTGAATACCATACCCCCGACTTACGGACAAACACATCGACAGATGAATTGAATACTATACCCCGGACTTACGGACAAACACATCGACAGATGAAGAGAATACTATACCCCCGACTTACGGACAAACACATAGACAGATGAAGTGAATACTATACCCCCGACTTACGGACAAACACATTGATAGATGAAGTGAATACTATACCCCGGACTTACGGACAAACACATCGATAGATGAAGAGAATACTATACCCCCGACTTACGGACAAACACAACTACAGAAGAAGTGAATACTATACCCCCGACTTACGGACAAACACAACTACAGAAGAAGTGAATACTATACCCCCGACTTACGGACAAACACATTGATAGATGAAGTGAATACTATACCCCGGACTTACGAACAAACACATCGACAGATGAAGTGAATACTATCCCCCGGACTTACGGACAAACACATTGACAGATGAAGTGAATACTATACCCCGGACTTGCGGACAAACACATCGACAGATGAAGTGAATACTATCCCCCCGACTTACGGACAAACACATCGACAGATGAATTGAATACTATACCCCCGACTTACAGACAAACACATCGATAGATGAAGAGAATACTATACCCCCGACTTACGGACAAACACAACGACAGATGAAGTGAATACTATACCCCCGACTTACGGACAAACACAATGACAGATGAAGTATACCCCCGACTTCGTTGAAGCAGGAGTATAAACATAAACAGATGATACGAGACAGATCATGTCAGCAAATGTTATCAATTCAACAGAGAATAGGAACAAACCTAGTTTGACAGTAAGGATAACTCCAATGTCAGTTTTCCATTCTCCACAATTTTTCTGTATGTTCAGACAGCACCTGATGACCTTTTCTACCACACTCAATAGGTCCTTTGGTGTATTAACTCTCCAGAGACACAAAATGGCATCACCTAACAAAAAAGGGTACAGAATCTAAGGCCAAAAAAAAAAGGTGTCTGTTTAGGGTTCCCGACCGACCCTAGCTTTTTACCCCGACCCAAAACTTTTTGATGAAAATTCTTTTTTCTTTAAAAACCCGCTGATTTTCGAATTTTAGAAGGTTCATTGCCTTTCAAAATGGCTTCCAGCTCCATGTTGGCGCTAAATGTCATCATATGGAGCACAATTTGCCTCCAAATGAACCTTGTTTATGTAATTCTTTGTTTTACATACAATAGTAGGGTCATAATCACATGACCAAAAATATACAAAACAAAAAAAAATCTGACCTACCTACCCTAGTTTTTTTGCCCATGCAACCCTAAACAGACTATATATTTTTTTTGGCCTAATTCAGGCATAAGGGTAATTATTGAGACAACTTTCGTTGAAAGCTGTGATCAGATATTTTAAAATGTTATACCTTTTAAGTACTTTTTAGTGTAGAATACATAAGTCAAATAGTACTGATTCAATTTATTTACACAGCATTTCCAAAATACCTGATACAAAACGATGTGACTTCAGTGACTACGATTCTTGTTTAATGAAAAAGTCACTTACTGCATACTTCCCACCTCTCACAATGGAAAACTGTGGGCAATAAATCACTTGCTACCACAGTCCACTGCACACATAATCCCCTTTCATGGCCAATCATGATTACATGACCATGAAAAGGGGTGTGCCCAGTGGACTGTGGTCACAAATGCTGTAAGAAAGGGGAGATAATCAATAAGAAGGTAACGATGAAGTCAATACAGTGGAAAGGATAAACTTAATTGACACATTTAAAATATGAAAAATAACAAAAATAAAGTTAAAAATGGTAATTTCATGATTGAAAAACAAACAAACAAAACGACTGAGTTGGCAGCGTTATTGATTTCCTTATCACGTGACAGGATAAGCATTTCCTGGAAAAGTTTATAAACTTTAGGAGCTGTTTCTTTATACAAAATTGTACATTCAAATATACCATTCATTGAAAGAAATGGAATTCCTTAGGGATTGATAAACCCTTACATTTTATGTATGAAAATGGTTTCAATATCCCGTACCTTTGCCACATCTTCAAAATTAAACTGAAAATGTAGTTAGAAATTCAACGTTGTTTCCCGTATTTTGTTCTAATTGTTGAACAGACACTCCTTACCTTCCCTGACACTGGAGGTGGATAGTAATCCAAAAACACTTGTATCCATTATGAAGGATACACTCAGACTGGGCTATTGAGAATAAAGACAAACTTACCTGGCTCTGATTAGTACTCACTCACACAGGTACATGTAAATTATCTGCAGTGTAGGGTAGGTAAAAAGATTGTCCAGGTGAACATTTTTTACTCAATTTTTCTGTTTTGTTCGAGTTGGGAAGCATGCAGTAAGCCAGTTATTGCATGATTTCTCGTCACTCGGGACTTATTACACCCTCGCTTCGCTCGGGTGTAATAAATCCCTTTTTACTCAAAAACCATGCAATAACCTTTACGTGTCAGCTTACTACAAGTACTGAACAAAGGTCAACTACATGTAACAGTGGTCAATATGTTTCAGCTAAGGAATGAACCTGGGGCCTCTCAAATTAGCTAAACAGAAATCCCTCCAATCTGAAAAGTCAGTGGGAGAGGGCAGGTATTTTACTGTTATGTTTCTGATGACATATAGATAAAATGAACAAGCATTGATGGAGCCAAACACTTTCGATGACAATAATATTTTAACTATCTTCAGTCTTAGAGCTTCTCGATCCAATGTGCAAGAGTACTCCTCCACAGAATAAAACACATGAAGAGGAACACAAATCTGCAGAAGTTACAATGGAAATTGTTTCATGTTGAACACAAAATAGCAGATGTTCATGTTTAGCAAAACATTAACGTTGAACAAAAGAAAAATAGCTGGTGAGATTCTAAAGTAATGAATGCAAAATAAATTATTAGATGATAGTTTAAAACAGAAGTACATTAGTATGTTCTTGTAATACACAAATAACACTCATACAGAGACTTTTAGTTGTGACACAATGATTGGACGGCCAACCAAACTAAGGGAATGTTTCAGACAGTCACTGAAATATGTATATGGTGCAGCCTTAACACCAGGAAAAGAAAGCAATGAATCGCGCTGCTGTTTCTGAATCTGTAAATCTTGTTGAATTATTATAGTGATCATTTATAATGTTAATATTGCATTATAGTTTATATACAATGTGGAGTCATCTCTTCTCTCATTTTCAGCTGTAGGCATACATAGTATTATATAATAATTAGTTGCTTCAAACACTGACCATGCACTCATAGATTATCTGTATTTGTCCCCCATGATTAAGGGTCCCCTTAATTGGAAGCAGCCCTTCCCTTTCCGGGGATACAGAAGTTACCCATGTTTGTTCCTGTGTACCCACCAACCATTCCTACTAAGTTGTTGTTTTGCCCTTTTGGCTTATGCTATATTTATCTTATATTGCATTTTACTTGATTGTATATTTGTGTATATATGTCATTATCATGCTTTGCTTGTAAAAATAATGCACAAGTTGCTCACCTGTAGATGTTCAATTTGGAGCTACTCACTCGTGGCAAGTTATGCAGCTACCTTAATATTTTGTGAAAACTTAAGTTGATGTTCCAATCCAGGGAGTTGGTTTTCATGTCATACTCGTCAATAGCATTTCCAAAGGCCCTTAATCGTAAATCTTGTACAATTTATCACACACGCCACATGACATTTTGTTGCCCCATCTTGTCATAGCCCTATCGCACGATCAGTTATAAAATGTATGGAAGCCAATATCTGAACTTAACATCGCAAAATTTCTGCGTTTTTTGGATTTATTTTTTACCAGGCAATGATGAGATTTCACCAATATAACATTGTTTTTTACAATAAACATTATGTTTGGAAACAACATATTTATTTCAAAAGTGTATACTTAATTTTGACATTCAGTATAATAATAAAAGCACACCAAAATTTATCACAATTGAATGATATTTAAGTAGGTTGTCTTACAGAAAATGAAGTTTGGAAATTAATCAATCAGAGCACAGTATGTTTGTTTCATCACAATTGAACAATATTTAAGCAAGTTTTCTTGCAGTAAACCAAAGTGTGGACAGCCAAAGGGACTCTCCCCATACCATAATAACCAAACCATGATTATCTGCTGAACTGGTACATCTGGATTTTGAAGGATTAGCAGGGTTTTGTATAGTGAAGCCTGCTTGCCTGCCTGCCTGCCTGACTGACTGACTCATGTATTGAAATAGCTCTGTTGCCAGAGCTGACATATAAATCGCTATTGGAGATGCTGTTGTAGCCACAGTTGGAACTGCTTTATGAATGATATCCTCTTTTAGTTCGAGAGAAGAAATAACTTAAATAGATACGGCCAAATTAACCCATTTTGGCCCTGTCCCTCATCCCTCTTGGAGGTTAGCCCCTCTATTTGCAAATTTTTAATTCAGTCAAATTTGGTAAATTCTAATCAGCAGTTAAGAAGAGAAGTCATTAAAGAAATTGTTGATGGGTACTTCGAAAAAATGCCATTCAACAGTGGCAGCATGACTTTTGTTGCATAAAAACCACAACTTAGGCACTATTAATTCAGCTGGAAATTTCGCTGGTCTCCGACTAGTGGACTACCCTTATTATTGTCTAGCCCTGGGGGGATGGATGACCAAAGGGCAATGGCATTCATAGATTTCGTAAAGCACCTTAAGACTTTTCTATCCATGAAGAGTATTTGATTCCAAGCATGTCTGGGTCAGAAGAAGATTGTTAAGATTTTGGCCAATTTTAACCAGTGATTTTGTGTTGACAACAATGGAAGACAACAGTAAAGAATGTTAATTGTTTACAGACTTTGTCTCAGCTGACCTAAAATTGCTCTTATTCGAGTAAAAAAATATCATCAAATCAGACTGATGCTTCATTGATGCTTCTAATCCTTGGTTTAGCACTAGATCCTAGTAGACCATTTCATCATAGTATGTAAAAAGACATTCATCAAAACTTGAAAAAAATATCATAAAATTTACCAGCAAATTTGAGCACATCGCCATCAGCTTTCAGTATGAGATCAACCATGGCTCCCAAATAGTCGTTCAGGTTCTTTGTCAGTTGATCAATGCCAGCCTTTTCCATGGAGGCATAGCGTTCGCAAAGAGAAGTAAAACCTGAAATTAAATTTGACATTTGGTAAGGTACCTGAATTGTTTAGCCACAGGCTTCCTAGCTAATATCCTCCATGCCCACAAGAGGCCCAATGGGCCTGCATCACTCACCCATCATCAATCTCACATTTTTAACCTTAAAAGTGGTATAAAAAATAAAAAGCTACAGGCAAAATATCAGTAGTCATGACTTTAACTTAATCAAGTCATTCAAAAGAATCTGTTTAAAGATTTAAACACATTTGACCCCTGTGACTTTGAAAGTCGAGCAAGGTCACTACATTAAACAAACTTCATAGCCCTTTATTCCAGCATCCAACTCGCCAAATATCACCACCATAGATCTTTAGTTTATTGAGATAAGTTCATTTAAAGGTTTATAAACATTAGGGCTGGAATGGGTAACCGAGTACCTGGTTGCGGTTGGGTTACGAGTGCGCGCAAATCAACGTACCTGAAAACCGTCCCAAAATGTAGGTCAGTATTTATTGACTTCCCAGGAAAAATGTCGCTCCTGACAGCTGATTGACAGACCTCGAAAACACTTGTGATCAGTATACTTGCTTTATTATTGAGTGCATGTGAACAATAAACTTTGAATGTAAATATAATATCGACTGACATTCTGTTGAACAATGAAAGTCATAATTGACTGTTAGCTATCGTCAGTGTTCCGACCGGTAGTGATGCGCAGAAATATGTTCGCATAACACATAAGAGTGAAGTTAGACTATGAAAAATTCCCTGTCAGGAGGCTAGCAATATGTAACTAATTCATAACGACTTTAATATTTGCTACATTTTACATCTGTATTCACAAGACATAAGTATTGAGTTATCTTTGTTTATGCATTTCATGAATTAACTAATAATATTTTTGTTAAAGTAAAATGCTATTGGTGGCCGTATTTCATTGCACAAGAAAACCCGGTTCTGATAAGCACACACGATTATCCGAGTGTTTTTTTCCCTAACCGTTGCAGCCCTAATACACATTTAACCTTATACACTTTTTGGTTATTCAGTTGATGTTGTTTAAAGGTTTAGAATATATTTGACCCCTATGACCTTGAATGTAGGTCAAGGTCATTCAATTGAACAAACTTGGTAGCCCTTCATCCAAGCATGTAATTGGTCAAATATCAACTTTCTAGGCCTTCTGGTAAATCAGAAGTAGGCCTTCTGGTTATAACCATATTTGATCTCTGTGACCTTGAATATAAGTCAAAGTCATACATTTGAACAAACTTGGAAGCGAAGCCTCCTTCATCCAAGCATGCTACTGGCCAGAAATCAACAATCAGGGGCTTATGATTATTCTGAAGATGTTATTTAAAGGTTTAAAACATATTTGACCCCTGTAATCATGAATATGAGTTAAGGTCATTCATTTGAACAAACTTAGTAGCTCTTCATCACAGCATACTACTAGGTCTTTAATTGCGAGTATCTGCCCTGTTTACAATGTTAGCCATTGTGGATATACCAGTTTTTATCTATGAGCACACTATATAACTACATATCATATACTTATTATTGTTCATGATGTTAAAATAACAGTATGTTCCTCTAAATTTTCAAGTGTGTTTTCAAAATTTCAGAAGAAGAAATTGTTGACAGACGGATGCCAGACGTCAAGGTACAGCAAAGGCATAAGCTCACCTTGGTCCTTCAGACTGAGTCAGTGAGTGATATAAAAAAAACAGACTCGAGTCATCCTTTAAAGTACTTTACATACAGTTTTATATAAACTGACATGAAACCAGAACACTTACACATCAGCAAGGGCCCTACCATGTGTCTGACCATACAACCCAATGGTTTAGTAACAGTATAACCTGGACTTAAAAATCTATTTAAACCCCTATTGCACATCTACATATCATAATTTTAAATTTCAAGAAGATTGGTGCTTTAAGTAATTGCAAGTAGTTGTGTGGAAAGTCATGAAATCACAAGTTTTGGAGTTCAAAGTCCCACAACTCTTCTAAATAATGACAGATTTCCCTGGTTATCAAACCCATACACGGTCCCATAGATATGAGGCCTCATACAAAATTTGGTGAACATCCGAACACAAATACGTTAGTTACTGTGCGGACAGCAAAACTGGACAAAAGCTGAACACTATAGGGCACCTACATCTTGACACAGGGCCTAATTAACTTACCTGAAATGTCTGCAAAGACCAGAACAGATCTGTACTCTGTTGTCCATGGCAGAGGTTTATTGTGGTCAGCAAATGTTACCACACCAGGAACATGAGGGGTTAACTTTTTTAGTATTGATTCTTCTTCAGGGTCAAGACCCTGGGCTTGTCTGATCAATTGTATTATCTTTGGTGTTGACTTGCCCCCTGTAAAAAAAATCAGAAAAAATCTTTACGGTATGCACTCTGTCACCTTCATCAGACAAATGACCAGTGAAGCGTATGTACACAAAGGTGTAAAATATGTACGAGTTGTCCACAAAACAATGTCGATTTAGCTACCCTGTAAGTGTATGTACAATTAGGTGTTATATATGTAACGAAATGACGCGATTCAGCTACGTTTTCTTTAATACTTGGTCATAGATGTGCGAGAGTCTATAAGCCCCCTCATTGCTTCCTTTAGCTGCAGCTTGAACAAATTGCTCTCTCTGTCCAACACCTTGAAGTTATCCCAGTCAATCACATGAATTTTTTTGTGGCATTTGAATTTCTTTCCGTATCTTTCCAAATCGCTTTCCAGTCTCTCCAATATACGATGTCACAGTTTTTGTATACTCATTCTGCAACGTTTTCTTTAGGTGTTTTATCCTTAGGATAATATTTTACTTCAATATTTTCAATCCAATTGAGTTCAGAATTTGATCAGGACATTACAGGGGAATATCTATCTATCCATACTTCACCAATTTCCCATACCCAGGGCTATGAAATTATGCCACAATAATGTTCAATCACTAGCAACAATAAGGTTTGGGATGGCATTTAAAATGTTATATTATGGTCATTACCCAACCTCTCTTCCACTTCCCACCCCCTGGATACTTTCCGTTACCGCTACAAAAATGTAACATCCAGATAGATTTTTTTATCCCGACCAAAATGTACCCCCTTTGAAAAATCTTATATTTCATATTTTTAATCCAATTTATGAATTGACTATCTGGATACAAGGTTTTTGCCAGGTGTTTATAGAATCCGATACAGGGACCCATTCCAATTGAAAAATAACCCTGTATTTTCCCAATTTCAGTCTTTATTTTCCCCAATTGAATTAAAAAACATGTTTATACAAGTTTCCAGTCGTTATATATATGCAACGTTCAAAGTGCTGCTGTCTATGAAGGAGCATTTAAAAAAACATTTATATATATGTAACGAAAATCTAAAATTGAATAAGCAAAAACACTGAAATTGATATGTTTATTTATTGCTATCCATTTAAATGGAGGAATGTATATTAAGCAATTAAAGGCTAAAAAAAGTGTGATTGTTGTGATGGCAGGGAAAATTGCAGGTTTTATTTTATACAAACTTATGATATTTTCCCAAACCTGTATTATGATGTGGGAACACTTGTGATATTTCCCAATTTTTGCCAAATGCCGATGATATTTTCAAACTTCCTTCTCAGGGGCCCTTTCCCAAATAGCCAGCAAAACCCCACCTTTTATGCATGACACAGGTATATTCCAATAAGGCTGCTTTGACAGCGTTGAACTTGTGTCATCACAGATGTTGGCTACCCATATATCTAGGTGATCGCCACTGGGCAAAAAAACACAATATCTCGGAAACGGAGGCCATCACAGGGATAATCCTGGAGCCAATGACTCCTCAAAACTGAAATTGAACCCCCATGTAACAATTTTCTTTTAATTTTACATAGAATGGCCCATTTTTATTTTGATATTGACTAAAATTGCTGAAATGGCCACTGCATGCTCTCAAATTCCAGGATTTTCCCAGTTTCTATATTCCTATCATCTCCACAAAATTTGATACATAAACCAAATATTTTGAATCATTATATAATTTTGGAGAAAAAGAGAGAAAATTGTAATGGATGAAAAATATGCAATTTTGAAATATTTGTTTTGACAATCAAGGAACATACTTGAAATACCCAGCAAAGCATATTTAAAAATTGTTAATGCAGGCCACCTTGAGCTTGGAGAATGTCTTTTTAGTGTATTAGAGTTGTCTTTCATTGAACTTTGAATCTAATTCGAAGCACATAACTATATGGCAACTGACTCTACTTCCAGCAGGTGTAATCTGTTGAAAAATGTTTGTTTGTTTTTCTGAAAATACAGTTTTATGTTGCTAGTTTATTATTTCCATACAGACCAGATTGTACACATGTTTATGAGTCATCAGTAATTCCAACAGTTGGTAACTGATATGAGTACGAAATCGCGGTTACTTCTTAGTAACATATGATAAAATTATTTTTATATTATTTTTTTGTGCTGGAAATATTTCTTTATAAGGAAATCTTACACTAAGCTTAAACATTGTTGTTATGTCTAGGAAATAATTGTATTCAGTCCAGTGGACTCTTAAGTAGTCGGTCTACCAACTTAGCAAATATAGTTAGTGTCTAACCATGATTACATATACAACAGAAAATGACTGCAACGATTGTCTCAACTTTAACTGTTTTGAATTTTAGTTCCCCACCTAAAAAGGGTTCTATTAGTGATTTTACCTGTCATCCTGTATAATCAGATTCATTTTTCCCGCTACAGTAGAGTATCATGACGTCACACAAAACTACTTCCGGTACACACTATCGTGAAAAATACACGCTGCTTTGTTCAAGTCGCCGGACAGTAGTCCCCACTTTTCAGAAAGAGAGATGGCTGAAGCTTTTAATTTCGATCCAGGTAAAATATGAATACATAGAAGACATGCAAATGTTTCGATAGATGTTCCTGTAGTCTACAATGACATTTTCTTAAATCCTTGCGTTGTCACTGAACGACACCATCGATCGTGACCAGTTTCTGTACCGCCTGTTTAGAAGGAAACACTATTTACATGTCATTTGATGTATTTGATACTGCTACGGTATGGTCCACGAAGATGGAATTGTGAATGGAAAAAATGTTTTAAAACTCATTTGACGTTTGAATCTGCTTCCATCACGTTTTGATCGAAGGAAAATGTTTGACATGAAACCGGGCACTATATATGAGATTGCTCATTGATGGTTTTATCCATTAACTTTTCTAGTTCCTGAGACATTATCTGTTTCTCCACAGCAGTATGTGATATTTGTCGAGGTCTATGTCTTCAAACAGGGTGTGAGGCAAATTCATTACGGTACCCTTGAACCAAGTTTGAAATCCATTCTTCAGATGTAATTTCTATCCAATTATTATAAAAAAAGTTGGATTTTACCTCCAACAAAATTCTCTGAAACATTAAACAGATAATGTACATAATGGTGTTGTTATCTCATGAATGTCTTCTGTTGGTTTACTGTTGGGGAAACTTCTGATTCTTCCCTCAAGGCCAGGGTTTCCCTAAAATATCCTGTTTGACATTATTCATCTGAGTAGGTGTATGCACACATGTGTACATGTATTGGGAGAGGGATCCATGTTCCTGCATGGTAATTATTAGTAGTAATATTAATACCAGGCCTCCTCTGCCCCGGCCGGGACGACGCAATATATAAAACGTTATCGCAGCTAGGTAATTAAAAATGCACCTCTGTTGATACTGATCATCAGTGATGATGCCCCCCCCCCCATGACCTGTAGCTAGTGTGGCTCCGATAATGATGGTGACCAGCTGGAAAACCCTGTTGCTGGTAGGGCGCTTGCCTCTCTATCACATGACGGCCCTGCCGTTTTGGTTTTGATATTTTCTTTCTTACCTTGGCCTCCTCTTCTAGTTTTTTGACCTCTTGATCAAGGTATCGCCTAACAACATGTCTGTGATAGGGTTTAATCTGGATTACACAGTTCTTTAAAATCCTTGTTCAATTCAGGTTTCAATAAAAAATGTTGTTTCTGTGAAATGTCAGTAAATTTTTATTAATGAGAACTATCTGATTTCTGTTAGCAGAATACAACAAATCCGTCAACTTAAGTAACGGGTACATTGCCATACACAGCATTATGCTGTGTGATTTGCCATTTCACATCATTGTCTCTCGAGCCTTTCTTCAGCGTTTTCAATACATCTTTATTTTTTTACTTCAGGCACAAACAGTTTAATACAATATTTAGGCCTCAGGTGTTTGTTTCCTGCCTCAGGTGTTTGTTTCCTATTTCTTTTCGTTTCTTGTCGTCAATTTTTCACTCCGATGGACTTCTTTAATAACCAAAATGGAAAGGGTGGTGATATGTGACCAGTATATCCTCAGATCAGATGGATAGCTTTTAAGTTTTTTAGCTCACCTGCCAAAAGTCATGATATTTGGCTGAAAGCTTCATTGGTAGGAACCCAACAAAGTTTGAGAACGAAAGTGATCTTGACCTACTTTCAAGGTCATCTGGATCAAATGTGTCGATTACTTCAAACAAATTCTTCTGAAGAACTGAAAGGTATAGAATCTTCATATTTAACTGGTTGCTTCCTGGGATAGAGCCTGACAAAGTTTAGCAAGAAAATGACCTTGACCTACTTTCAAGGTCACAGCTGTCAAATATGTCAAACTCTTCAAATGACTTCTTCTGAAGAACTAAAAGGTATAAATCTTCATGGTAGCTTTCTGGGATAGAGCCTGACAAAGTTTGAGCACGAAAAGGGTCAAATGTGTCAAACACTTCAAATGACTTCTTCTGAAGAATTGAAAGGTATATAATCTTCATATTTGGCTGGTGGCCTCCTGGGATAGAGCCTGACAAACCTTTTAAATTTTACTGTCACCAATTTGGAACCAAAACCTAAATGTTTGTGTGAGATCATAGACAGTCATTCAAAAATGGTTAAAAAAATTGAATGACTGGTCAATTTTCATCTTGTCAGAGTGAAAACTTTATTACTGGCTAGCTGAAATATTAAATTACCTTCCCACCTGTGACAGTGTTTACAAAACCACCAATTACTTTACACTATGGACACATCTATATATTCATTACCTCAGTATAATCTTATTACAATGTCTAACAGTACATAGGTCATATTTCAAATTTAGCTTGTACATGCATCATAGGCATGTTGGCATTATCTTTAGGTACCATTGATCTGTCAGCTGCATGCCTACATATGTATCAATCAAGCACTATGTATCCCCAACATTTATATTACACTGTATCCCCAACATTTATATTACACTATGTATTCCCAACATTTATATTACACTATGTAACCCCACAGTTATATTACACTATGTATCCCCACAGTTATATTACACTATGTAACCCCATAGTTATATTACACTATGTAACCCCACAGTTATATTACACTATGTATCCCCACAGTTATATTACACTATGTACCTCCACAGTTATATTACACTATGTAACCCCACAGTTATATTACACTATGTATCCCCAACATTTATATAACACTATGTAACCCCACAGTTATATTACACTATGTATTCCCAACATTTATATTACACTATGTATCCCCAACATTTATATAACACTATGTAACCCCAAAGTTATATTACACTATGTATCCCCAACATTTATATAAAACTATGTAACCCCACAGTTATATTCCACTATGTATCCCCACAGTTATATTACACTAGGTATCCCCACATTTATATTACACTATGTATCCCCACAGTTATATAACACTATGTATCTCCACAGTTATATTACAGTGGGGTATAATATTTCCTGGATTAACAACACTATCTGTGATATGGTAAGATCAGTAACAGGTGAGGCTGTTTACATTTTATCTGTGTGTACAATATACATTTGTATGCGTACATGTACATGACCATATATATCTACACATGTGTTGATTAATGTTAAGGTCGTTTCAAAACTGTTGTTCGAAGGCAGTTCCACTTATACCCTAACAAAAGTTAAGGAAGTTGTGGATTAGCCTATTCATATTTTGCAATGGAAAGGGAAAGAACATTGGCTGATAAGGGGAGAAATATGTTTTTGTGAACAAATCAATTCTCTAGTTATCATATTTAGTGGCTTCATTAAATCAGTTCCTTATTAATGAAGGTTCATCACAACTTTCTGTTTTATTGATTATAGACAAAAATTATGATGAAGCAACCATGGAGCAGCAAAGAAATATTGAAAAAGAGGTAAGTATCTAACAATGAAATACCAGTTTTGTATGAGGTTATATAATCAAATCCCTAATAGGATAAGTATGTAGATACAAAACCTGGTCATGGGGTAAGTATGTGGATACTAAACCTGGTCATAGGGTAAGTATGTGGATACTAAACCTGGTCATAGGGTAAGTATGTGGATACAAAACCTGGTTATAGGGTAAGTATGTGGATACAAAATCAGGTCATAGGGTAAGTATGTAGATATAAAACCTGGTTATAGGGTAAGTATGTAGATATAAAACCTGGTCATTGGGTAAGTATGTGGATATAAAACCTGGTCATAGGGTAAGTATGTGGATACAAAACCTGGTCATAGGGTAAGTATGTGGATACAAAATCTGGTCATTGGGTAAGTATGTGGATACAAAATCTGGTCATTGGGTAAGTATGTGGATACAAAATCTGGTCATTGGGTAAGTATGTGGATACAAAATCTGGTCATTGGGTAAGTATGTGGATACAAAATCTGGTCATTGGGTAAGTATGTGGATACAAAATCTGGTCATTGGGTAAGTATGTGGATACAAAATCTGGTCATTGGGTAAGTATGTGGATACAAAATCTGGTCATTGGGTAAGTATGTGGATACAAAATCTGGTCATTGGGTAAGTATGTGGATACAAAATCTGGTCATTGGGTAAGTATGTGGATACAAAACCTGGTCATAGGGTAAGTATGTGGATACAAAATCTGGTCATTGGGTAAGTATGTGGATACAAAATCTGGTCATTGGGTAAGTATGTGGATACAAAATCTGGTCATTGGGTAAGTATGTGGATACAAAATCTGGTCATTGGGTAAGTATGTGGATACAAAATCTGGTCATTGGGTAAGTATGTGGATACAAAATCTGGTCATTGGGTAAGTATGTGGATACAAAATCTGGTCATTGGGTAAGTATGTGGATACAAAATCTGGTCATTGGGTAAGTATGTGGATACAAAATCTGGTCATTGGGTAAGTATGTGGATACAAAATCTGGTCATTGGGTAAGTATGTGGATACAAAATCTGGTCATTGGGTAAGTATGTGGATACAAAATCTGGTCATTGGGTAAGTATGTGGATACAAAATCTGGTCATTGGGTAAGTATGTGGATACAAAACCTGGTCATAGGGTAAGTATGTGGATACAAAATCTGGTCATTGGGTAAGTATGTGGATACAAAATCTGGTCATTGGGTAAGTATGTGGATACAAAACCTGGTTATAGGGTAAGTATGTGGATACAAAATCTGGTCATTGGGTAAGTATGTGGATACAAAATCTGGTTATAGGGTAAGTATGTGGATACAAAACCTGGTCATTGGGTAAGTATGTGGATACAAAATCTGGACATATGATGAGTTTATGGATAATAAACCTGGACAGAAGATGAGTATGTGGATAATAAACCTAGACAGAGGATGAGTTTGTGGATAATAAACCTAGACAGAGGATGAGTTTGTGGATAATAAACCTAGACAGAGGATGAGTATGTGGATAATAAACCTGGACAGAGGATGAGTTAATGGATAATAAACCTGGACAGAGGATGAGTATCCAACTGGTAGTTTCTGAGATTTAGCGCGGACAAAAATTTGGAAGAGGAATAATAACTGTTTTTGCAATTGTGGGCAATATTTAGCAAAAGTCACCCCTGCTCCCTGCCAATATAGGTTGGGTGCACATCTACACATGCCCAACAATACTCAAAGGAAGTTTCATTGGAATATGACTGTAGTTTTTGAAAAATGAGTGGACAAAATCACAGTGGAAGAAGAAAAAGATGAAGAAGGAACAGTATAAACAATATGTCCCCAAACTTCGTTTTGGAAACTAAATTACAAGTGCAAATTGTAATGACGGCATTAATGCAGAAGTCCCCAAAATGATTCCTGCCGTCATAAATGATACTTGACTTTCTTTCAAGGTCATGATTTGGAAAGTTTAAAAAATAAATGATCTTGAGCTGCTTTTAAGGTCAGAGGGGTCAAATGTTTAAAACTTCCAGTAAGATTTTGACTAATCTAGAGACCTGGGCCTGTATTCATAAAAATGTTCTCATGCTCAAGCATGGAACTTCAAAACAAATTTCTTGTAACTCACTTCAATCATGTAAAACAATCAAAAAATGTAAACATTGAAAAAAATGTTTGGCTGAGGTCTTCTCAATTTTTCCCAAAACATTGATAAAATACAACTTTATGATTGATTTATAAACAAAAAACAAGTAGTTAGACTTCAGCACAAAATCCATGAGGATGGTTTCATGAAAACAGGTCCTGTAGTCATAATATTTGACCAGTGGCATGCTCGGATGAAGGACTATCAAAGTTGTTCAAAAAAATTCCCTTGATTCACTTTCAAGGTCTTTCAAGGTCATTTGGGTCTTGTGTGTTAAAAATTGTAAATTTCTTTTTCTGAATAACAATAAGGCATGGGGATGTTATATGTCTTGTAGTATGCTTGTTCAGATGTCTATCAAGTAGGCAAGTATCCAGTGAATGCTCTGACAAATTTTGAAGGTATTCTGAATAACCAAGAGACTATAAGAGTATTACATTTGGCCTGTAGCTATGAAGTAATGTATCTGAATGAATGACCTATGCTATTGAAGGTCAGAGCTTACAATAAGTGTTTCAAAGGAGGTTGACCTTCAAAGAACCATTAGGAGAAATGTAACCATACGTAGGGTACAGATATTGTGTTTGCAATTAGCAAGGATATTTTTGTGTTTGGCTGATTAGATTTATTTCTCAAGTGTTTTATCAAAATTAGGTAAAATATGATATTGAATTGTTGTTTTATCTTATAAAAGAGTAAAAAGGTCTTATTTTTTATTAGGTCACCTGAGCTTTAGCTCAAGTGACCTATTGCTATCCGTCTTGGTCTGTCGTCGTGTGTTAACATTTTACATTTTCAACTTTAGCTGAAATACTGGCAAAGGGATTTCATTAATATTTCATTGGAATGTTACTGACATCTCCCTGACCAAGTGTTGTTATTTTTCGGGTCGATCAGAAATCCAATATGGCCACCACGGCCTCCATTTTTAAAAACTATTTCAAACTTAAAGTCAAGTTCTGCTGGGCCGTTTGAACTGAAACTTGGTAGGAATGATCAACTCATAGTCTTGACAAAGTGTTGTTATTTTTCGGGTCCATCGGAAATCCAATATGGCCGCCACAGCCGCCCTTTTGAAAAACTATTTCAAACTTAATGTCAAGTTCTACTGGGTCGATTGAAACGAAACTTAATAGGAATGATCGACTCATGGTCCTAACTACAAAGTGTTGTTCTTTTTTGGGTCAATCAGAAATCCAATATGGCTGACACAGCCGCCATTTTGAAAATCAATTTCAAACTTAAAGTCAAGTTCTGCTAGGCCGATTGAACTGAAACTTGGTAGGAATGATCGACTCATGGTCCTGACAAAGTGTTGTTATTTTTTTTGCCATGGCCGCCATTTTGAAAATAACCTCAAACTTAAAAACAAGTTCTAATAGGCTGATTAAACTGAAACTTGGTCTAGGAATGATCAGCTCATGGTCCTGACAATTTTAAGTTAACGTTATACTTAACTATTTTTTACTCAAATTGGTACTTATTGCAACAACAAAAATGTATACTGTATGACTTAGGTGACCGTTAAGGCCCATGGGCCTCTTGTCTTGTTATAGTCTCCATATTAAGATTCACTGGGTATTTACTTTACACCCAGAGAAAATGACGAACTACAGCAAACTCTACATATAAACAGGTTAACGAGACTGAAATTTTCCTCATTATAACTAGTGATTCTTGCTACATAGTGGGGTCAACTATATGAATCGGGGGAGGCAACTCCCACTCACCTACATTGAATTGCGGCTACATAATGTTTATCAAAATTTAGACACATGCCCAGAAGCCAGAAAAGTGTTAACTGATATTTAATTTGATTTCTGCTGTATTCAAGCAATATATTTCATAAGAAAACTGTATGAAGCAGAAGTTTTTAATTCCCAAATCTCCAGTGAGGTCTAGATTTTAGAAGCAACTTGATTAAGAGAGAGCTTCCTCATTCTGGAATTTGAAGCCCATGGTATCCAGGCAAATATCCAAGAAATAGTAGCTAAATGGCCATGAAACTTGCTTGGAGTGATATATAACTTTTTATAAGGAATACTATTTGTTTTTGGGATCAAAGATGACCGCCATAGCCTCTGATCAGCTGAGTCTATAACTACTAGCCACTGATTGGCTGAGTCAATAACTACTAGCCACTGGTTGGCTGAGTCAATAACTACTAGCCACTGGTTGGCTGAGACAATAACTACTAGCTGCCACTGATTGGCTGAATCAATAAGTACTATAACATGAATTCTTCTTGAACCGACTTTGTTGATGTGTGAGCAATACATAGGGGTATAATTTACATCAAAGGCCTAATTTAAACTTAAGGGATTCTGTAAGATGGTCACTATGTCCTGTGATTGACTTAGACAATAAAATATGGTCAAGTGGAGAGTATAGGCATACCTAAGACCTACAGTTCTAGTAAAATCCATCCAAATTGAATTTTGCTCATGTTTTGTGTTGAGGCATTTCAGGAAATGTATGCAAAATAACTGTTTTCCATTTCTTTTTCATTATTTGAGATTTCTGCGAACCAAGCTCTTGTGAGTTTCCAGATTGATTTTGACACTGTCAGTGCTGATTATTCAAAAGAGGATGAGACCTACTTAGGAAAAATTCAGGTATGAAAATCTGGTGAGCTAATAAATATTGTATTTCGGAAGGAAAAATATATATTTAAAGTTTCATTATAACTACATGATCTACTGCTGATACATATACACTTGTACAATTGTTTTTTTGTGCTGTCTCTTTTGTGTAAATGTGACTTTTATATTTTCAGGATTTAAAAATCAAGTACAAGTGTGTAAGGAGGACGAGAGGTGATGGCAACTGTTTCTACCGAGCATTTGGATTTGCCTACTTAGAACAATTGCTGACCAATCAAGTGGATTATGCTAGGTTTGTATAAGATTTGTATGACAAACATCAGCTACTTTTTGTGTTATTTTAATACCACCATCTGGTGATGGTGAGCTGTTAGATATGCATTTGTCTATAGTGCATTTTCCTAGGTTACTCTTTTGTCTGTCCTTACAGATCTCGTAATCACCTTGTCCCTACATATAGGTGTGCACATATAGTTTTGAGGCTGATTAGAAAAACAACAAGATTGCCAAGCAGTCATCTTAAATGATTTGGACAGTTCAAGGTTCAAAACTTCATATGTACAAATGTAAGTTAATTTTCATCCTTTGTTGTGCATGTTGTCCAACAAAGTTGGAAGGTATACTGGAATCGCCCTGTCTGTCCGTCTATCCAGTTTCATTGAAATTTGGTTGAAATTGGTCCATTACTTTAGAAGGAGTTGTCTGTCCGTCTGTCCGTCTTTAAGGACGGACAACTTTTAATGGACCAATTTCAACCCAATTTCAACGAAACTTTCCAGAAATGATAACTATCACCTGATATTGTGCATCCAGGTATTATGTTTTTCATTCTAACCCTTTTTACAGAGTAATTGCCTTTTGTTGAAAAATGCTTGCCTTCACAACTTCTCCAAAACTGTAGTATTTTTTCATTCTGACCCTTTTTAATGAGTTATGACTCTTTGTTAAAAATCTTTGTCCTGACATCTCTTCCTTAACTACTAGGATGATTTCAGCAACACTGGTTCATCTGGGCTAACAAGATTTTGTTTGCAGGTATGTTTTGCCATTGGGAGGGGGTACAGGAAGTATGTCAGTTACCTATATACTTAAATAAGTGTACAGCTCAGTGAATGAAGAAATCATTGACTGGTGGAAGACTATGCTGTCTATGGATTGCTTTGCAGTGCTCTACCTTACTTAGCCTTTAGCTTACAGTTCTGGTCTAAATAGGAGAGAGGGGTATAAGTTAGCCTTTGGCTAACAGTTCTAGTTAAGAACTGTTTCTGAAATGTGTCCACAAATAAAAGATGCATTTGACATCAATAACAATCTTTAAATGTGAAAACAGCCATTCATGTTAACATCAAAGTAAGTGAAGGTATAAATAAAGACCTAAATGCGTGTTTCAAGCTAGGCTGCGGGTTACATTGTTTAAGCCAGAACCGTGGGCTTGTTTTTAACTGGTTAAGTTAGTCATGTGCCCTAGTTTGGTATTTCTCTACAAGTCTATTACAAATGGGAGACGGAATGGAAGAGATGCTACTTTGATATCTGGGGCAATTAAGTCCAAAGAATGGCCATACATTTCATTTAAACAGTTGTAGCAGTATAGGCTATATCAAAAGAAATCTAGTTTTATATGTTTCTACTACCTTCAAATCAAGTGGCATGTTCTGGACAAAACCGAAAGTGATTGTATGCCTTTATTGAGCAGTTGTGACTCTGTACATGTTTAAAAAACATATCTTCAGCCATGCTGATCTGATACAGTTTCAAAATAAATATGAAAACCACAGTAGAATTCTCTAGTGTTTTGCCTGGTACAAGATCCTTAAATGTGATGATGGTGTGTGTATATGCTGTGATGATGGTGTGGGTATATGCTGTGATGATGGTGTGGGTATATGCTGTGATGTGATTGATATAAAAACTCAATTATGTTTGTTTGATCATCTAGTTAAAAAATTGGTCATTTCATTGTCGGCATTCTTACTTTAATGCCATGGTGCGACTTCGGCTTTCCATCCATCATATGTCTGTCATCAACTTTTTCCTTAAAATAACTTCTCAATAACTTACCGACATAGGGTGATGATATTTGGCCAGTAGCATAATAGGATAGATGCATGGCTAACAATTTTGTTCAAATGAATTACCTTGACCCATTTTTACGGTCACAGATGTCAATGTTTAAAAGAATCTTTGAAGTAATTTCATCTAAATAACAAGGGGTAACATGCTGAGATGAAGGGATACCATGTTTGTTCAATTGAATAACATTGTTCCACTTCCAAGTCACAGGGGTCAAATGTATATAAATCTTTAAACAGTTTCTTCTGAATAACCAAGAATCATGTAGTGATAATTGCCCAGTAGCTTAATATAGTTTATTCAAATATATTTGACCTTCGTCCACTTTTAAAGTTACTGGTGTGTGATTATTTAGAGGTGAGTGATACAAGCCCATTTGGACTCTTGGGTACATATTGATACCTGGTACAATTTATTTACTGTATATTTAAGGTTTAAGGAAGTGGCTACCAGAAGTAAAGATGAGCTAGTCAGCCTTGGGTTTCCCCAGTTTACCATAGAGGACTTCCACGACACTGTAAGTATACACATACATATAGCTGCACAGACATGCAATATTTCCAAACATAGTCAGTATTGCTGCACATACAATTGGTTATAGGCAGTGTCAATATAGCTACACATCCATAAATAATGTCAAGGATAATAAATGGCTATTCATATTAAACCAGTGACTGGATATTCATGTTCAATCGTATTTAACATATAATCTTACATTTTAGTCACTTGTCTTTGAATAACAAAAAATGCATTCCCCACATCAATTGTTACACCCTCCAGAGATTGTATTGAAGGAATCCACAGACTCTTCTACTTCAGCCACTTTTCTGGACCTTTACTTACAACATGACCAACAGATATGACTTACAATTTCGACAATCATGAACTTTCCATTCCTTGATAGTAGCATCTTCCATGCTTCCTATATACCATGTTAACATGTCCCAGTTGATTGGTACTCAAGATCTACAAAACCTACAACTAAGGGTTTTTCAAAATGCAGGTTCATGAAAACTATGAACTATGGTTGCCATCAAGATCTTGCAGGGAAATATGCTATTTCTTTGTATGATATGAAGGTCAGTGTTTCTGAGGAACTGAAAGGTATAGAACCTTCATATTTAGCTGGCGGCTTCCTAGGATAGAGCCCTACAAAGTTTGAGAATGAAAATGACCTTGACCTACTTTCAAGGTCACAGTGTTCAAATATGTCAAAAATATCAAACGACTTCTTATGAATAATCGAAAGGAATAGAATCATAATATTTGGCTGGTGGCTACTTGGGATAGAGATCACCAAAGTTTGCAAATGAAAATGACCACAACCTACGTTAAAGGTCACAGAGGTCAATAACATTTCAAACGACTTCTTCTGTTGAACCAATTGGAATGGATTCATATGATTTGGCTGGTAGCTTCTTGGGATAGAGCCAACAAAGTTTGAGAAGGAAAATGACCTTGACCTACTCAAAAGGTCACAGGGAAAAATATGTAAAGAACTTTTGAAGAAGAACCAAAAAGCATAGAATCATATATTAATGTTTGGCTGCTAGTTTCAACAGATGGAGCCGACAAAGTTTGCCAGTGAAATATTTGTAGTACAGTATTATATTTAGTGAGAATAATTTGCTATGACTGCTAAATATTCAGGTTTGCGATACAGGCCCTCTTGGTCACTTGTACTTATTACCTATTACATTGTGTTTTCGTAGTTCATGGACGTGGTAGAAAAGGTTGGTACACCATGTACAACAAAGGAACTACATGAAACATTCAACGACCAGGGAATATCTGACTACCTGGTGGTATATCTCAGGTAAGTCTTACCCATCAGCACCTATTGTAGTTCTGACATTTCTGAATACATGGTTTTTAGCTCACCTGGCCCGAAAGGCCAAGTGAGCTTATGCCATGGCGCAGCGTTCGTCATCCGGCGTCCATCAACTTTTCCCTTTAAAATGCTACTAGCCCTTAATTCACGGCTCAGAGGATTTTGACCAAGTTTGGTCTGGAGCATAATTGGCCAAAGGGTTCTCAAGTTTTGTATAAACAGAGGGTATGGTCCCCATGGGGGCAGAGGGGTGGGGCCAAATAGGGGGAAAATAGGTAAATCTTTAAAAATCTTCTTCTCAACCAATAGAAGGATTTTGACGAAATTTGTTCTAAAGTGTCTTTGGACAAAGGTGGCCCAAGTTTTTATAAAAGGAGGGTGTGGCCCCTCTGGGGGCAGAGGAGCGGGGCCCACAAGGGGAAATAGAGGATGAGACTTTGCCTGTAACATGCTGGGATAAAGGTATATCGAATTTGTTCAAATGAATGACCTTCACTTATATTCAAGGTCACAGGGGTCAAATGTGTTAAAAACTTAAAACAACTTCTGAATAACCAAAATGCCTAGGATCAGTTATTGCTTATTTTGACTTACAATAACTTCTTTTGAAGATCCAAAAGGCCTACATTCATAGTTGACTGGTAGCTTCTTTGGATGGGGCCTGACATTATTTAATCGAAAAAACAGCATATGACCTGGGTTGTTAATGATTAACAACCAAGGTCATGTGCTGTTTTTAAGCCGCTCTTGGCGAGAGCCGAGCGGCTTGTTTTCGATTAATGTTGTTTTTGAACTCAATAGGAGCGATGCGGCCAGTACAGCCTAATGTTGTGAAATGTCATCATTGCAAGATAGAATTTGCTTTTAAGGGTTATGTTCGCTCAAGAACATGCATTTGAATCATATATAGAAAAGTGTGATCATCCATAAAAAAATCCACTGATATAAGATTCTTATCCAAATGTTACCACATGTGATTTAGAATGGTATACATTCTGTTATATTCTCACTGAATGACAAAAACTTGGTATACATTCTGTTATATTCTGACTTGAACTGTGGTTATGGCCTTCTTTTGGTTGGATGTTGATATTCTATCTTCATGAGTAAACCATGCTAATTATTATTATATATAGTGAAATAGCTGTTGAATATACTATTTAGTAAAAATAAGCTGTTTTTCATGTTGTTAGTTGTAATAACCAAGTTGACAGCTATTTGATTGAAAGACTTTTCGAGGAAGCGATTACTAAAACTCAACAGCTTTCTGCATGAACAACCATTTATCACCCAGTGTGTGGGCCATAATTTTTATGTCCCTCCCACATTAAGGAGATACAATTCCTTGATTGAAATATTTGACAGTGTGATTTTCTTTGTTGTAGACTACTGGTGTCTGGTTATCTCCAGAAAAAGGCTGATTTTTATCAAAACTTCATTGAAGGGGGGCGATCTGTCAAAGAATTTTGTAATCAGGTTTGTACAAAAACATGATTTTTTATAGTAATGTGAAGACAATAACACATATGAACATTTATTGTCAGACATACCAGAAATATTAACAAAAGTTTGTTATCCTTTGATATTATAAGACTATAATTATTTGTATGGGCCTTAAATTAAACCAGTCACTGATTGTAGGGTGACAAGTGCATGTTATGGCCCTTCTTTATTATACGCACTAAGATAAAGGGGTATATTGTAATCACTTTATCACTGTGTCTGTCCTTACATGCATCCATGCGTCTGCAGTAAAATCTAGTGTCAAAGGTATTTCATGAACCCCTCCACAATGGGCTTTTACATACTTGCAAGATGGGAACGCATAAAGTTGTAAACAGGTTAATGTTTTGAAAATCAGAACTGACTTATTTATATAATCATCTAAATAAAATACCCAGTACCTTTTTTTGCTCCTTTTCAACCTCATCCTCTAATTTCTCTACGCAGGGACCGATTGATCCAAAAAAGAAACCCCAATTCGTGATGACCTTACCATCGACTTTATTTCTACAAAACACCACTGAATCATTACACCATATTACTAAAATATCAAGTTCTGCATGGGTTAGATTTTCATGGTCATATGTTAAAGTTTAAGGTTAAAAGTACCTTTTGATCACTTCGGTGTTGGGAAATATCAATGTGAGCCCCCGCTTACTTTGAATTTATACTCCCACAGGGCTCAATAATAATGGTAGCCCCATCGTCTAAGACTAGTGAATAATACTTATCATGTTGAATAGTATATAATATTGGGTTAGTGGAGTTCGCACAGTAAAATTATAAACTACTAGCCCCGGCCCACTGTCTCAGGGTTTTTAGATTAATTTCTAGCTCTGCACCCCTGTCCATGCCAACTTTTCCAATGCAAAATATTGAGATCAGTGACTTGATTTTGTGAAATTTGTTAAAAAGTAGTGAGAGCTTTCTCTGAATTCGTGTGAAAGTAATGATACATTGAAACAGAAATATATTCTATAATAACCTAATATTATCTCATACGTAGCCTCTAATCACTTGGTTAGGTCACCTGACTTGGTTAGAACTGATATGGGAGATTTATGATTAATTTAAAGAATTTTTGGGATATTTACATGTGACAAAAAATCCAAATAAAGCTACTGACATTTTATAGTAAAGATATCACAATACTCCCATTATAAGTCAACTTTGTATATAACCATTGTTATTGAAAATATGTCAGATATCAAAACCAATATTTAAATGTTAAAAGTTTTTAATAAAAAGGAAAGTTTTTCCTTGTTTAGTGTTATTGAATATTTTTTTTTAGAACAATATTCAACAGATTTTAAATTTCATTACCCTTGGGTCCTCTGTTCTCCCTTGGATAAAGTTGACTATAGTTTATCTAGATAAAAAACAAATTTTGGGTATATTTGGTCTATTCTCTGAAAAAAACAAAACTGTTTTTGTCCCAGGGGCACTTTGATTGTCAGTACTAATACTCACTAAGTTACTAATACTTAAGTCAGTTCCAAAACATTGACATAAATATCGGTACTGACATCTGAAAGCCATTATGATTTTATTTCCCATTACAGGAAGTGGAGCCTATGGGAAAGGAGAGTGACCACCTACAAGTAATGGCCTTGACTTCTGCATTGGGCGTGGCAGTGCGAGTTGTGTATATGGACCGAGGAGAAAGTGGTCAATGTAATCACCATGACTTTCCAGAGGAATCTAGTCCTTCTGTGTACCTTTTATATCGACCTGGACACTATGATATTCTCTATTCCTGACAACAGAACTAATTCTGTTTTGCATTCATAAACGATTTAGCATACATACACTGACGAGCCAAGTGGGCTTTTGCAAGCCATTGCTGTCTTTTGTCCATCATCTGTAAACTTTTTCTATACGCGACTTTTTTCAATCATGTAGTCAACAGCATTTTTAGGTGATGTGGATTTAAATTTGTGAAGAAAAAAGTTTTTTGTTTTTCAGAAACGTCTTCTTACAAACTGCAGTTTGATGGTTTTTGTATTCATTATGAAGCACACTTACTACATGCTCTACAAAATGTGCAAAGGGAAACAAAAATCACTCAATAAACAGGACCACTAATGGTTACTTTGTAACACATTTTGAAATATTTGCAATTCTTTAAACACCCAAACATCTTCTGAAGAAAAGAAAGGCTGTTGGTCATGATATTTACAATGTATTTTTAGGTCACTGATGTGAAATTTGTTAAAAAGTCTAAAGTGAATAGCAAAATAACAAAAAGAGCTTACTGGCATTAAGGGCTACTAATATAAGTGATCTTTACTTACTTTCAAGGTCACAGAGGCAAAATATCACAAAACAACATCTTTTGAAGAACTCAAAGGCAAAGAGTCCCAATGTTTGGCTGTTAGCTTCCTTGGATGGAGCCCGGCAAAATGTGCTTAAATGGCCTTATGCTACATTCAATGCCACAGGAGTCATGTATGCAAAAAGATTATTTTTTTTAAGAGCCCATGCACTTGATTAAAGTGTGTGGTATTTCAACAGGTTTTCAATTAAAAAGAAAAAAAATCCAGGTGACCTTTCAAGATCCCTGGGCCTATTGTATCACTTAGAAAGCTAGCAAACTTAAGTGTAATGAAACTTGATTATAACATCCATGGTTTAATATTACTCTCTACAGCTTCACTGCAGAATGTCACTACATACATTCTGGTAATCAGACACTTTTTGTGATTTTCATAAGCAGTGATCTAAAACAACACAGGAGTTCATGTGTTTTGTGTTTTTGAATTCTTAATCCGATCGATAAGATAACTAAGCGTTTGAAACATTTGGATGAGATTACTTGCATTTTGGGACAAGTGTAAGGAGGGAGTCGGTCTATAGTTGTTATAAAATCTCATGAGGTCATTTTGCCCGGACGTGAAAATCACTAGCCCTTGGCGTTGGGCTTGTGGCATCGTATACCCCTGGGGCCCTAGCCTGGAGTTTTATGTGAAATTGTCGCAAAAAATAATCAAAAATTGTTACATTATATATTTTTCAGTTTCTATTTCACCGCATCAATGTTTGGTCAATAGGGAACCTCCATGGGAAATATCAGCATCCTAGTACATATACTGTAACGTACTATTTATGAATTTCAACACTTTCACCAAATCCTTAATCTGTAAATTCTTGCAAAAAAGATTGCTATCATGTACATTTATACAAATAACATTTGATGCTTTCCCATTAAGGATGAAATCTCTAGTATAAAAACAAGGACATGCTGTCAATGTTCCAATGATGTAGATAAGGTCCGTAGTAAAGCTGGTTAACCCTTTCACCCCTATGTAACGTTGGTAGACTCTACCAGGCATTGATGAATCCATTATGGTCTACAGTGGTGAAAGGGTTAATGGAACCTTCCACAACTTAAAGCTGACAGTGCAAATTAAAAAGCTTGCTATTGTGATTGAAAAAAAAAGAAAAAGTTTTTAATTTTCTTTCTTGCTTTGAGATGTTCTCTAGACACTTTCTTTTTTGGCTATCGTTTCTAAGGAAGCGCCAACATTTTAGTTTGTGCTTGCTTGGTTATGAGTATGGTTCTTCCTTGGTATAAAGAGTGCACGTCTGACCCGGTTATCATTTAACCACTGACCGTCACTAAAAAATACTCTCACATCATCAGTCTTTCATGTCCATAAAACCGCAACCACTCACAAATACTTAATTATGATTTCTTAGTCTTAATCTTGTACACTTTTTACTAGCAAAACACATGCAAAATACGAGTCCCACATGTTGTCAATGTGATATTTGATAATTGAACTGTTTTCATGGAATTTCAAACAAGATGCCATTACTAGCAGATATTTAAAAGGTAGCCTTAGTCGTATGACTAAGTCCTAAATATGATTGATATCTTACCCTTAAACAGTTCTAGACAGGAAGTCGCTTAAATCAATATGGCCAAATTACCTCTTTTTGGCCCTGTCCCTCAGCCTCTCGACTTGTACAATTTTGAATCCCCACCACCTAACAATGCTTCTAGCCAAATATAGTTGGGATCAATCTCTTATTCTCAGAGAAGATGCACTTAAAGCAATATGGCCCAATTGGAGGACATTCCCTTCATTTGAATCTCCAACACCTAAGGATGATTCCTGTCAAATTTGGTTGACTTCCAATCAGTGGTTATGAAGGATAAGTGCAAAAATGACCTTGGTCCTTTGGACCAGGTGACCGTAAAATGTGATTTGTAAGAAGATAGCTTCACACAAGATCCCTTACTACATGTATATACCTTTGGAAATGTCATCGGCAGTGCCATTTTACAGTGGATGCAGATTTTTGTTTTGTTCCATGTATTTTGAAATGCTTTGTATGAAATTAAGGCACATGGGATGCTGGGCATCCTGAAAATCAATGTAGGGGGCGCTGCAGTCACAAAGGTGGGGTCAACAGTTTCCCCCTTATCAAGTTATTTTATTGGTTTGCCATATGAAGATACATAAAAATGACCAATAACTGGATATATGATTACTATTCAGATTGAGTAAGGGGGAATCCTAACAATATACCAGATAATTGTCACAGGTGAATATAATTTTGAAAATGAATTGTGAAAGAGTATATAATAACCCGCCGGGTACTGTTATTTTGATACGAAATATGTCAAATTGATGTACACGAAGTAAAAAAAAATCTCCATATGTATTTTGTCTACAGAATCATTTATTGTGATAAATAAACCGGTTGAATACTTTTTTAGCACGTCAAATGTGGCCAATGCACAATTTCACATGTTAACACAATCTCAACCTTAAGTAGTTCTCCAGAGGAAGGCTTTCTTTTGCAGAATACATATTTATGACTTATTACTGCTGCACAATACTTAAAAATATGCATGATATAATGAGGTGTTTAAGTATGATACAAAAACAGAAAATGTATCGGTATTTACCATAATAAACATTGATACTTTTATTTGCTTTCTGCATCCTTTAATTGCAATGCGTTGAGAAAGCAAATGTTGTTATGAGACTATAACAACATGTGCTATTGTAACGTAAATGATCTCTATAGTGACATCATCAATTTCATTGTTGTCGAGGCTTAATTTGTTGTTCAAAGCATATTATTACTCTATCAAGCAATTACTATTTTAGCAATTATTGTTATGGTCCTATAACACACATTTCTATTGCTGGCAAACTTACATGAAGATCTGCCAGGCTTTAATAAGTTTGTCATCAATAGCAACGTGTGTTGTAGGACCATAACAACATTTGCTAAAACATTCATTGCTTAAATAACCAAATCTTCATGGATATGTACAAAGATATGCAGATATATAAAAACAATACAATAATCTTAGCTAGAACTATAATAATAATAATAATAATAATAAACTTTATTTATTGAGGATACAAAACCTGTTTAGCAAAGCTAATCTTCCACAGGGTCCTCTGTTAGTAAAATTGGTTAGTTAAAAGACAAAGTAGTATCACATCAAATAAATGTACATAAAATAATTGTTGGTCTACTAAAACAGCAATTCATATCACAGTTATTTCATAATTTAAACGGTCGTTCAATACAATTACAATAAAATTATCACAGAAGCACGAAATATATTCCGTGCTTAACCCATTATGGTTTTCATTAAAAGACAAAATGTCTAATTTACATATATGCTAATGTAGCAAAAGCTAAAAATTGACAGAATACACGCTAATATAGCGAAAATAAAACAAATCAAAGCTGTATCTAAAAAGTATAATAGTAAAAATAAAAGACAATTAAACCGCATTCTTAATGTTACCAATCATATTTTGTTTGAGTTTTTTCAAGGAGGAAGAGAGTCTTACTTCAACCGGTAAATTATTCCAAATCTGGCTCCCTTGTAATAGCCAAAAGCTAACTAATACCTCCTGTTCCTATATAAACCAGAACTGTCAGCTAAAGGCTAACGTAAGGTAAAGCATTGCAAAGCAATATAGTCTCCCACCAGTAATAATTTCTTTTTTCACTGAGCTGTACACTTATTAAAGTATATATGTCACTCCCATGCTTTATGTACTCCCTCTCAATGCTAAAACATACTTGCAAACGAAATGTTGTTAGCCCAGATGAACAATTTTGCTAAAATCGTCTTAGTAGTAAAGGAAGAGATGTTGGGACAGATTTTTAGGTCACCTGAGCTTTACCTCAAGTGACCTATTGCAATCCGTTGTTGTGCGTTGTCCGTTAACATTTTACATTTTCGACTTAATCTGAAATACTGTCGAAGTGATTTCATTGATACTTCTTGGGATTGTTACTGACAACTCCCTGACCAAGTGTTGTTATTTTTCCTCACGGCTGCCATTTTGAAAAAAAACACTATTTCAAAAGTTACCTCAAGGTGCATTTACTGTTAACATGACTCGATCAAACAGATTAGAGGAAAGAAGAGAAAAGATCGAACTGACAAAGAACTAATGAAGATGGTACAAAGGTGGGTGCCAAGATCCCTCTGGGATCTCTTGTTACTAGTACAGCTACTTAATGTGAAAGAAATAGAATCGATCATTGCAATATGAGAAAGATCTGTTTAGTTCTTCTGTTAGCCATTTTGTTTATGATCAGTCTCAAAATATAACATGCACAACGAGGGATCAAGGGAAACCTTCATATCAGATTTGAGAAAGATCCCTCAAATTATTCCTGAGAAATTGTACTAGAAAACCTTCAATGTCAAAAATTGAAGATGGCTGTTGGTCGGCCATTTTGTTTATCTGATCAGTTTCAAAAGTAAACATGAACAATAAAGGATAGTGAGGAACCTCCATATAGAATTTGAGAAAGAAGCCTCCAGTACTTCCTGGGAAATAGCACTAACAAACTTTAACTGTCAAAATCAAAGATTTGTGTATCCAATCAGTCTCATAAGAAAATAAGCATAGCTTCATACCAAGGGGAACCTACATAGAAATTTAAGAAAGATCTCTACAGTAATGGTCGTCACAAACCTTCACTGTCAAAATCCAAGATGGCTGCCTGTCTGCCATTTTTATACGCCTGTCAAATTTGACGGAAGTATTATGGTATGGGGTTGTCCATCCGGCCGCCTGGCGTAAACTTTTGTTTGTCCGGCAATCTCCTCCTACATTTTCAACCTATCTCTTTGAAACTTGGTATACATTATAATCATGATATGAAGTTGTGTCTCCCTTAAAAGAATTTTGATTCGACAATTTTTGCAAAAGTTATTGCCCTTTGTTTATTTCTGTATTTGATTTTTGTCTGGCAATCTCCTCCTACATTTATCAACGGATCTCTTTGAAACTTGGTATATGTAATAATCATGATATGAAGTTGTGTCTCCCGTAATTGAATTTTGATTCAAAGATTTTTACAAAATTTGTTGCCCTTTGTTCATCAGATGATGGTGGGCTAATAAAACTTAAATATACACATGATTATTATTTTATGTTGTCTTTCGACTAGTCATTTAGCATAACATGAAGCATTATTACATTATTTTATATCTTTAACTCTTAACAAGTAAGGCAAGGTCTGGGAAAGATAACCTTGTCACCAATGTTTACCAAACTAACATCCATTCACATGAACAACCTCCTGGTACTTGCCAAATATCAAGACCCAAAGACTTTTGGTTATAAAGAAACACAAGTAAAAGGAAAAATAGCTTTTCATTTTTTTTAATCAAATGTGTAATATAACAAAGGTGTTATATGATGCATAATTAAAATCGGTTTGTTAATGTCTTCAACTTTACTTATTAAAAGTGTTTGGATGCACCTCAGCACCAAACCTTTGGTCTGCACTCAGTCCAATATTTTTAACTTTACAGCAAACTAAGCTGAAGAATCTTATAAAAGGTAGTGTACATGTAATAAAATGTAACAATGTGTATAGAAAAATGAATTTACTTTTGTACATGATTCAGCAGGCAGTATTAGAACACTACAGCAGTTTCATATTTTAAAATTTGTCGATCAACAGCACAGCATACAAACAGGGTTTGACACCTAGAACCATTTTCTTTAAAATAATGTTCCAGCCAACTCAAAGAATGAACCAGAATTATTCTAGTGTTGACAACTATAATGTTCCAGGGACCTCATACAGAACAAGTCAGCTCACAGCTTACACCAGGGTTGATACCTAGAACTAGTCTAGTGTTGACACCTATAATGTTCCAGGGACCTCATACATAACAAGTCAGCTCACAGCTTACACCAGGGTTGATACCCAGAACTAGTCTAGATTTGTTGTGTTTCAGGGACCTCATACAGAACACGTCGGCTCACAGCTTACACCAGGGTTGATACCTAGAATTATTCTAGTGTTGACAACTATAATGTTCCAGGGACCTCATACAGAACACGTCGGCTCACAGCCTACACCAGGGTTGATACCTAGAACTAGTCTAGTGTTGACATCTATAATGTTTCAGGGACCTCATACAGAACACGTCGACTCAGCTTACACCAGGGTTGATACCTAGAATTATTCTAGTGTTGACACCTATAATGTTCCAGGGACCTCATACAGAACA